TGGAAAATGTCAATCGGTATAAAAAAAAAAAAAAAATTGTACTTGAGTTTTTGTTAAGTCCACGCAATATCTCTTTTTGGACAGGCAAGACTAGCGGTAAAGACTCAAATGAGTCTCCACTCAAACGAGTCTCTTTTTATTCTAGATGTGGGCACAATTTACTTTATCAATCAACTATTATTGTGATTCAATGCAAGGTTTTTAAAACCGAACTGGTTATTGAACCATTTTTAGGTTTGGTTTTTGATTTGATTGGTTCAACCAATTGAACCAATGAACTGACTGGTCCAAACAACGAGGGAGAATTTGATGGGGGCAAGCAATTTTGTAATTTTGTTAAAATTAAGGGTCAAAATCGGTATAAGAAAGGAATGGTGAGGGTGAAATTGAAAAAATAAAAAGAAGATTGCATGAGAAATTGAACCGGTAATTTTTTCGGTTCTATCGGTTCCATCAATTTTGACCGATTTTAACATCAAACGATTTTTTATGTAAACCGAATCACTTTCATTATTGGGTACTGGTCCGACCGGTTCAACTGACTGGTCCGGTCCAATTTTAAAAACCTTGATTCAATTATCACAATTTTTTTTAGTAGAATAGTAATAGTTATTTAAAATTTGATAATTTTATTTTTTATTTCTTAAATTTATTAATTGGAAAGAAAAAAATCTGTTGTATATTATTTTATTTAATTCACCAACATAGAATTTTAAAAGAAGCTCTCATCTCCAATGTTTAAAGTTAAGAAAGGCTCCTCAAAAGTTAAAGAAAATGGTATTAATACTCTATAATCTTTACCCATACCAAAAAAAAAAAAGTTATTTTATAATTTAAATTGTATAACACCAATTATTAAAAGAGTAGACAACTTTTAATATCTCTCAGATAATTGAAATTGTACAATACTATTTTTTTAAGAAAATAAAAAAAAAATCCCACCTTACTTATTGTTAACTAGTTTTGAATTGATGTTTGATAGTTTGAAATTTTCTAGATATTAATGTAAAATTTTTACTTTGATATTAGTAATATTTAGATGAATTTTATTTGATTTATTTGATTTTACATAACTTTCATTAGAGAAGGTAATAAAAAACTTATCTATAATAAAAAATTAATAATTTCAACTTCTTTAAATTACATTTTATTTTTTTAGATTATTTTTATTTTTGTTTAATATTTTTATGCTTGTAATTATGATTTAAGTTTTAATATTTTTATTAAAAACTAATTTAGTTGTTTAAGACTACATTGTAATGTAATCAATTTGATATAAATTTTTATGGTTTTTATACTTTTGAAGATTGTTGTTTTATAATAAGTATATTTTATTATTCTTAATGCTTGATTGCCATTACAATTAACATAGGGAGCATCATTGATTTCGAAAAGAGATTTTATATAATAACTTTTAATAATATATTTTACAAATTGAACAGAAGTCTAAGCTTAACCAACTTGGTTTGCGTAATATTAGTAATAAGTAGACTTGAAAGTTTTTACGTAAATTAGAGAATTTCACATAATATAATGTATTTTTATTTATTTAAATTTACATAAAAATATATTGAGTTAACATTTAAAAATACATTTAATATAACTTGAGAAAAATATATCAAATAAAATAGAAATTTTGCTGTTGCATGAGTTGTAAATATCTTAAAAGCATAATAATCTAAAAAAATCTATATTAATTAGTTATGATGAAATTAGATATCTTAATACGCTACTAAAAAACCATTTTTCAACAACATGGGAGCACGTCGGTGAAAGTGCATCCCATCTTGCTGAAAGTCTTTCAGCAACAAGATGCATGTTGCTGATGTCTTTGTTGGAGATACTGTGCTCGGTGATACATCAGCAACAAGGTCCACGTCGGTGATTCCTTGGACCCTTTTCAGCAACATGCACTATGATGTTAAAAGTGAAGTTTCGCAAACGTAGTTGTCACGCCCCCAACTTAGGGGTTAGGACATGACAATGCCACATACCTTTAGGAGTGACCCCAAAAGCATGTAAGGCTAAATCAGTCTCTAAAATTCATCCTTGCAGCTTTGCATAAAATTTATTCTTCATTTTTAAGAAAATTAATAGAAAAATATATATATGATAATAATACTCCAGCATCTAAAGTCAATTCTACACCAAAAATCTGAAGTATAACTAGCACTAAATTAAAATCTCTTTATTTCAAATGTCCACGAATGCTAAGCATAATGGGAAAGAAGTAAATAGTCTATTTCTAAGGTGGCTCTCTAATTCCCCTACCTCCCAGATGCTCCATGTTAGTATCTGAAAACATTAAATAAAACAATGTGAGCTCCACATGCCCAATAAGTAGCATACCCAACTAGTACAACCAAGCATAATTATCTTAATTAAAAAGTGATATAAAATAAGTAATTAAATTATATTGGATGAAACAAATATAAAGAAACTCATCAGTAAAACAATTTCTCAATCCCACATGGCTGTGGAACATGAATATCAACTGGTCGTTCGATACTCTATTACGACAAAATAAATAAAAAAAATGAACTGTTCGATGGTCTAACTCAGTTTACCGTTCGATAGTCTAACACGGTTTATCGTTCAGTAATCTATTACGGCACGATAATCTAAAATGATTCCCGACGATTCTATGCAAAACAAGCTACCTTAATTTCAAATAAATTTTCAATTCCAAAGTCTTTATATCACAAAACTATCAAATCCCCTCATCTCAAATAGTTGACAACCAACATGCTTAATCCACATTTATTTAAAGAAAGAAAATGATAAATAAATATACACATAAATAAGTAAATGCATTCCAGAAGAAATACCACAAGGAGATAGTAAAAAAAATACTTAGATTTCAAATAAATTAATTTCGCAATAACAAGTGAAAGAATAATTTATTTTTCTAGCATTTCTAAAAAGGGTAATGCCACTTACCTCAGTTATTGACCTGGCACCAGTGAATGCAAAGCCAAGAATTATTTAGACCCTTTTTCCTACAAACAATTGTTCATTTCAGCCAAATTCCACACACTATATGCCTCTAATTATGAATCAACATAATTTCAAAAATCCCTACTCAATTCGCCACCCACTAAGCAACTTTCCCTCTTTTACAATTTTTGATATAATAAAATACTCATTAAATTTCACACATCATCCATGAAAGCTTCCCCACTTGTCTGCCCCGCCAAAGAAGAAATGGACAACCACAATAAAAATTCAATATACCATGCTAAACTTGCAAGCCAACCTCATAAGACTACTTTAGACAAGTCAATTTCCATTAACTTAACAACACAAATAAAACCCAAAGCCCTCTTCGACAAAACCATCCTTTCCCAAAATCTATTTCACAATTTCAAGATACTTCCTAAATTAAAACCAAGAAATCATTATAAAACTAAGGAAATTTACCTTGAATGGACTTAGCAACTATTTTCCCCCAATTTGTGCAGTCACCTTATTGCTCTTTTGAGTGAGGAAAACCCACAACCCCTTCCCCGGTTCTCCAGAAAAATCACGCTATTCTTAAATTTCTAGGTTAAGTTTTGCACATTTGACAAGCCACTCTTTCATCTTTACCACCATTATACACATAAACCTCATATTTCCACCTTATTGCATACACATCCTTAAGGAATTAAATAATAATAGAAATAATAAAAATTCTGGGTATTACAGTAGTCTATCTTGCTAAAAAATTTACCAGAGCCGGCAACCGAAGTTGTGCAACCTTTTCAACAACATGAAGTATGTTGGTGAAAGCATATTATCACCGACATGGTTTATGTTGCTAAAAATGGTCACCGGAATTGTTTGTCGGAGTTGTGCACCCTTTTCAGCAACATAGGTCTTATTGCTGATACTTCTATGAATAGTAAATCAACCTACTTTCAACAACAAGACTTTTGTTGTTGATAATCTATGAAATAGTCAACCCAAGATGTTTCAACAACAAGAGTCTTGTTGTTGATAATTAAATGAATGGTACCATACCTTATTTTTAGCAACAAGAGTCTTGTTGCTGATGACTCCGTGAATAGTTTTGTGGAGATTCATTCACCTTGACTATCACCGACATGTTCCACGTCGGTGATAGTCCAATGCCAAATTGACTGCTTCTTTCATTGAGAAGTGGGTTTGTTATTATTTTTTCTTAAGTTTTCATTGATAGTCCAATTCATAAATTTTTTCTATTAATTAATATTATAAATACATTTTCT